TCTCTTCGTTGCGACAGAGAATATTTTTCGAACGAGCATCGGTTCGTATTCTGTTAAGAAGAAAGGATTCTTCTCGTTTGTGATTCATGATCGATAGACCCAAGTGTAGTAATACGATTGCATTCGTATGCTCGAAGTTATCAGCATTTATCGCCTCTTTCGTACTGTAAGACCTTATACTAACAAGTTCCATTTCGCTAGTGCAGATATTTTCGTCTTCCGCGGTGAGTTCTTTGCTTAACGTTGTCTTCGTGTAACTGAAAAATTCTGATTACGTCCAACGTACACGATGAGGTTTTTTCGTTGTATTTATCACGATTTCATTTGCAAATACACGTACCTACGAATTAATTCACAAAGAACAAAGCTGGTGGAACGATGTTATTTTCGTCGATGAAAGTAAATTCAATCTAATCTATTGGAAACGAGACGAAGAATTCGGTGTTAACTATTTAAACCCTATCGACTTAAATCTCACTACACTAAATAAATAAAACATGGTAGTGGAAATATTATGGTTTGGGATTGCATTTTGTCGAAAAAAGTTGGAGAATTGGTATTCATAGGTGGCATTTTAAATAAAAATAAGTATTTGGAGATCTTGAAACAAAGTTAATGGAAAAACACAACTGCCATGGACATCACATTTAACACAAATGAAATCACATTTAAATTCTATCAAGATAATGACCCTAAACATATAGCTAGAATAGTTCAAGAATATTTTATATAATTACCCTTATGTGTTACACCCATCACAGTCACCGGATTTAAATCCTATTGAGAATTTATGGGATTATCTCGGCAGAAAGATTCGAACAACACCAAGCAGGACAAATCAAGAATTAAAACATCGATTATTGGAAGAATGGAGGTGTATTACAATTAATTACTTAGAAAAAATTACTTCAAATATTAGATAGACCGGAAAGTAATGTCGTTTCTTTTACATTAAATTCAAACAAATGTTTGATAAATTTCTATTTCTAAGCAATTATGTAATCGCCCTCGTTGTCAACAGCCAACTAGTGTGCAAATTTTCAATGACCGATAAAAATCAACGAGGTGTTGAGTGATAAACAAGGATTTTCAAATTGCAAAAACGACATTACTTTCCAGTCTACCTAATATGTCTAATCGATTGCGATGTGTAATTAAACAAAAGGGTTATCCGACAAAATATTAATACGTTAAGGGGTAAGACCAATCCAGGTTTCCCCAAAATAAACTAAGTTCGAGAATTTGTTTTAGAAATTTATTAAAAGCTGTGAAAAATTCAAGTGTGGTACCTTATTAAATGCATATTAATGTGTAAAAAATAATTTTGTTTATATGTTTTTCTTCTAAAATTGCGGCTTTAGTACCCAAGATTTCAACCTAGAACAAAAAACCGTACATTTTCTATAAATATATTGCAAAAGCTACGGAACAGTGTACGGAAATTGGAAAATACCGTTTTCTTGAAAAATGGCACACAAGCAAAAAAAGGAATCACTTATTTTCCGAAAATTTCATCGAAACATTGTCTGTAGAAGAAAAGATTCACAAGTTATCGCAAAAATCGTACGCTATTCGCTAGATAATGTATTAGGTTGTCCCAAAAGTTTCTTTCGCTTTATTAATAAGTAATACATGCACAATAGTTTATGTTTTATGTTACATTACTGAATTGTGCACGATTCATTTTGCTCCATTACTGTTACAACATGAATATCTATGAAATTAGATTGTCTATTTATATAAACACGACCACATAAAATAATTTAGTGCAACTCGCGAAAGAAAGTTTCGGGACAACCTAATATTAGAGGCGTCACCCTGGAAATTTTAAGAGTTCCTTGAAAAATATCACAAATACAGTGGTGTACTGAAATTATTGGCCGGTAGTGTAAATACATACATTCTCCACGTACGCGTATAAAATATACAGTTGCGTAAACGTCGGCGGTCTAGTCACAATAAAGAAACCATAACGCTGGTGGCACTTGTGCGCCCATTGGTGCAGCTTAGTGCATCGCGGAAACTCGCGGTCCGAATGTCAGATACAGTTAGAAATTCAATGCACCGCTGTCGGAACGTTGAACTCCGTGTTCCGCGGAGCTTTTGCCAAGACCTGTACGGCCGCAATAAATCCGTCGATGCACGTGGATACGAACGATCCCCTCGGTGCACGCTCGATGCACCGAGCGGCGCGGTGCAGCTTGCACCAGAAACGAAACTTTGCGATGCACCGTGACAGGAACTAGTTTCCACCGTGTCGGCGGAATCCCCTTTGCATGCGAATAACCCAAGGCAATCTCGCCACTCACGGCTGCATTTTTCGCCAATTCCGCGTAAAAAATGATCGAACGAAAGTCGATAATCAACTACACAGCTTGGAGTGATACGTGCAATCTTTGGTAACAGGGAATAAATTCCTTTTTCTTTTATTTATTTATTTATTTATTTATTTTAAGGGGTCGTTATCGTACGCTCGAAAGATAAAAAGATTTTTTCTTTTTTTTTTTTATTATTATTTTTATTCTATGTAACAAATAATTGCGGAATGTTAACGTTTTTACACATAATAGTAGACGTGTTAATTTTTAATAATTTCTTTTTTTCATTATTATAGCCACTTTAAATTTGTCCACTTCCTCTTGACACGATAACTTGACATTATTATAAATAATCCGAAAGCAGAAAGGCAAACATATTATTAAAGTATAGTTGTCTAAAACCAAACATCTCCGACCGAAACAGAAAAATGGCGGACGTTTGAATTTTTTCGACACTTTTTGTGAACTTTGATTATTTGTAATAAAATTATTTTCTTTTCTTCATGATAACGTTCTAGAGCAATTTTAAAACTAATTTTTCTCTGCCTTTCTCGTTGTAGAATAACCTCTCAAATCCTTAAATTGTTCAGAAAGGTACGCCATATTGAAAAAATGTAAAAATCGATTTTTATTATTAAAAAATATAGAATTTCTCGTTATTCAGGCATACATTTGTTTTATAATTTTTGCGAAATACCTTTGAATAATTTGTATCGCTTATTTTAGATACAAGAAAAGAGATGTATGTTTATTATTTGAAGATGAATTCAAGGCATTTTCGGTGCCAAAAGTTTTTTTTATCGACGAGTAAAAATGTTAACCCTTTGCAGTCCAGATTTTCTGATTTCGGGTATAGTTCTGTCAAATCTCATTCGACATATGACACCAAGGCGTTAAGAATTTTATTCTAATATTAAATAAAGACAAAGAGATTCGTGACAAATTAGAAACTTGATATTAAAAACAAGCTAATAACTATATTAGGTAGACTGGAAAGTAATGTCGTTTCTTTTACATTAAATTCAAAGAAATTTTTAATAAATTTCTATTTTTAATCAATTATATAATCGCCCTCGTTATCAACAGCCTTTTGCCATTTAATGTGCAAATTTTCAACGCCATATCGATAAAAATCAATGAGCTGATGAGTGATAAACAAGTATTTAAAATTGCACAAACGACATTACTTTCCAGTACACCTAATACATATGCTCATTTAAATGTCGTAATTACAAAGGCATTCGATTAATTAGAATTCGATTGTAGTTCCCATACATTCTTAAGGGTGCTTAAAGTATATTTACATCTCTAAATATAAACAAAAACGTTGTGGAGCACACATTTTGTCCTGCAGTGTACGTCGGAAGTTTATGCGCGTCCTAAGAAGAGCGCAGTGTGGTGCATCAGAAAATCAATGCAGCGGTCCAGGGGTCTTAATCCGCCGCGACCGGTCGTCGACGTTTGATCTATTTTTCCCAGGACCAACTAGCAAATAAATTTCCCTCGTCCGTCCCCGTTACGTTCACCCTTCGACCTGGCAACCCTTCCTCCTAACCTACGCCCTACATCCGGCCGTGTCCGCGTTTTCCCGTTGTTCTCGCCCCAAAAAAGTGGTATCGGAGCTGCAGATGGAAAATATGCTTTTTAATGCCTGTTTCCTGCGGCCCATCTTCCGCTTTCTTCTTTCAATTGTTCGCTCCCTTTGCGTTTCATTCTCTCGTCCGATACCACTCTTACAAGATCTGTGTTAGGGCACAGATTAGAAAGACATCAAATAGTAGAGCAGTTAAGGAGAGAATTGATTTTTTTTCGGACCGAAAAACTGGTTTCTTTATTACTTTTCATCGAAGGAATTATGCAAGACTTTAATTTGATATTTTACATACGCTTTTATTACTATTTTAATATGATACGTAATACCAGGGCCGGCGTGACCTTTTGCGGGGTCGGGTTCAAAAATGTTGCGGGGCCTGAATTCGCATTCAAATCCTACACTTAAATTTTATAACGAGGAATTATTTATTTACAAATGCTATATATTTTTTATAAGATGAATATTAAATAATAATACTTTGATGATTTTTGTCACTCCTTTCGATTTAATCATCGCTACTAAAAAAATGTCTTGCATCTCAGCAGAAATTGCTTCCATTTGTTAATGGTATCATCGGTCTGTAAAAAGTTAATCAAAATCGGTACCTTTTAATTGAGTAATTTTCGTAGACCGCGGGGCCTTTTAAAACGCGGGGCCAGGTTCCGGAGAACGCGCTGAACCTGCCTTGCGCCGCCCTGCGTAATACAAATTTGTATGGAAAGATTTACCCAAAAATATAAATGTCCACGTGTATGTATTTGTAATAAAAAATTTATTTAGAAATATCAAATTTATTATTTAATTTAGACAAATATCTTTAATAGATATAGAGGATACTAGCGAGACTGAGTGTAAATGTGAAATATGTATTGCTAAATACAAAATCATTTATTATTGAAGTACTTATAATTTTTCATTTTTCTTAATTCCTAAAAAGCCTCTCTTTTTACACATTTACAGCGGAACGTATCTTTGAGTAGATCGTCATGAAGTGAAATAACGTGTGGTTTCAAATTATTCTTTTCCTTCTTCCCTTGAAGATTGATCGACGATCTATCATATTAACATAACGATTTTCAATGTTACAGGAATGTTCACCGTTGTAGATGGAAAGCCAGTGTTTAAATATACATTGACCCAGTGGCAGACCATCGTGGTACATTATGGTGGACTGGCCGGTCTAGCTCTCATTGGGCTCCTTCTGGCAGCGATTTTACCCTGCGTGGGGTTGTTTTTCTGCTGCTGCAGATGCGCTGGTCATTGCGGTGCTAGGAGTCAACCATTCGACAAGAAGCACGATCACTGCAGAAAGGTGATAATCAGCATGGTGCTCATAGGGGTTGCTACTATTATATTGTAAGTGTATTTCGATATTGGTATCCTTAATGTCTTCATTTAAGAAATCCAATCACTGCTAACAAGGGAACATCGATTGTTGATACACCCCGATTTTGATGAAAATGTAGAATTCTTTGTAGGACATTCCCATCTACACCGTTTTCAGTTTATACACTTATTACTTAAAAAGTTTTTAAGTAATAAGCGAACGGCGGTAACATGTATAGAGAAAATGTGTTCAGTACGATACCTTGACAACATATTTCAATGTCATCAAAATCGGTAAGGAGAGCAAACTTCTAAATAATTACCGATATTTTAAAAAAAAATTCATTTGACGAATTTCAAAATTTCGTCCACTTGCGCGGTGCTTTCGGACTTCGTTTCGTTACTGGATTCCGATATACAGGGTGTCCCAAAAGTCGGGGAGGAGCCGGAAATGGGGGGTAGCTGAGACGATTCTGAACAACAATTTCCTTTGCAAAAATGTCGGATGGGGCTTCGTTAAGGAGATATTAAGAGAAAACCTCGACCAATCAGAGCGCGCGTAGACCGTTCGAGCGGCCGCGGTAGCGAAGGCTACGGCGCTAGGCGGCAGCGTCAATGTCCTTCGATGCACGTCGAGTCACTTGTTCGCGTGCAAGCGCGGCCACCAACGCGTAGCCTACGCTACCGCGGCCGCTCCAACGGTCTACGCGCGCTCTGATTGGTCGGGGTTTTCTCTTAATATCTCCTTAACGAAGCCTCATCCGACATTTTTGCAAAGGAAATTGTTGTTCAGAATCGTCTCAGCTACCCCCCATTTCCAGCTCCTCCCCGACTTTTGGGACACCCTGTATGTACAAGTGGGTGTAGAAAGTATTCGTATACTGATGAATTTCCAAAAAAACCATGTAAAATTGTAATTTAGTGATTATAAAAAAAGAATTTAAGAAACTACAATTTCACACAAACGTTTTTTGGGAAATTGATCGGTGTACGAATACATTCTACACCCACTGTATGTCGACTTTCTGTGGTCAGCCAAGCTGCCTGAGCCAACTACTTGAGGGCGTATATACGCTCTTCACCGGTCAAAAAGTTAATATTTATACATTGGGATTGCTACAAATGTCCTGCTCCTGCGCCGACCTAAATACGATCCTACCTCGAACGATGTTTCCTCTCGCTAATTACGTTGGAACGAGACCTTCCTTCGAATAATACCAATATCCACTGCAAAGCGGGGACTCAAAGGAGGACTTGTACCAATAATTGTTTCGTCGACGAAGGCTAATTGAGCTTTCCAATTTACTCTGGATTTATTTACGTTAGCAACTAGGTATAGAGATTGATTCTGTGCCTTTCTAAAGAAAATTTATTATTCAATTATAAAAAGAAATATGCAACCTTTGATCTTGGAAATAGAAATTTCAAAAAATAATGCAACTATCAATTAGACATGGACCATTGCACTTATAAAAAAAACATGGTCCTACAAATGCGGTACACTTTCAATCATTCATTGTTTTCCTTTTACATTTTATTTTAAATGTACTGATAACGAAGTTACAGTTTGTTGCACTTACTTGGCCCAGTCTGTATACGTATATTTACATCCGTTTTGATTTAAAGGATCGATGTCGGGAGCAATTTATCAGAATATCATGAAATTTAATATGATAATTTATACATATATATAATATGTAACACATGTATAACATATATATTATATATATATAATTTAACATTGATTAAGGTTGTAATAAAATCTATACTTCGATTACTTTATCTTTCGTCGTAGACAAAATTATAGAGGAACAAATTAGAAACTGTATAGTGTCCTAATATTAAATTCACTGTACATTGGTGTTAATCGTATTGTTTGATGTTGTTTGCAGGTTTGGTGTCGTCTGCGCGTTTGTCACGAACGAGTACATGCAGGATGGTACGAAAGAGCTGCCCAATAATCTCAAAACCAACCTGAACGATGTAAAACTGTACTTGAACACTACGAAGGAACAGATCAACAAAATTCTGAAAACCAATTTTGACGAGTTGGAGATCAACCTGAACAACATCCTCCAAGCCAGCGGGAGAATAGTCACAGAACAGCTCGCCGAGTACTCCCACGCAGTCTCGCTGACTAATCTCAGTGACATCGTAGCTGGTTTGGAGTCTATCAAAGAGGACCTGAATACCATGCAGACCATCACGCGGGATCTACGGACCAATGCTAGTCATTTAGACAACGGTACTTATCCCTTTCAAGCTGTATAGGAACTGGTAGTGATAGGAGACGTGTTTTGATATGTTTAACATTAAACGTATCGACATTTTACATATACAACACCTATCTTGCCAGAAGGAGTCACTTGATCCCATGTTAAATAAATGTTGACTTTTAGACAAAAATTCTGAATTATTTAAAGGAAATAATTTGCAACGTAACATCTAATTTCTAATAAAATAATCAAACACATACATTTATTTTTATAAATAAAATGATGAATTACTTTCACACGGGGCCAATGTACTGAATATAACGAGAATTATTCACTCCTTGTCGTATTTGGTTTTTTTGTAGGCTCTGATTTTTACTTTCTGACTCTCAATATAGGACTGTTTGTATTTCGTTCAATTATAAAGGAACTCATCTTGTGTACAAACTTTGGTAGCGTGATTTCGTCCACTTAGAGTGCATTTTCATGAAAGAGAAAATAGTTTCACATCTATTGTGACTTGTTTTGTTGAAATGAGATCTTTCACGTTGTCCCACGCATCTTGTGAATCACAAAGGTTTACCGTAATTCATAGACGGCGTCAATGAAAAATTCTTGTCTTCATATTCTATACATGATTTCCCTGTGTTTCCAATTACTTTAAATAATAACAACAACAACGATAAAACTCGTCTCTGTTCGTTTCAGCTGTACGAGGTGTTAAAAACAATCTCCTCCACACGCTCGCGGCGTGCAAGACCCAGAATTGCAAGCAGGTCCTGCACGATTACAAAGTGAACCAGATGTCGGTTAAGATAGACTTCGACAAGGTATTTTATTTAAAGGAACTCGCGGGATCGCGATGGAGGAACTTTAAAGTTTCAAAGAATGTCCACTAGTAAGCTCGTGGCACTCGTATTTATTTAAATGCAGCGACGGTGTTCCCCATCGCGTCTTGCGAGCTTCTGGCTGTTCTGAATTTTCAGTAAGAATCGTCTCACAGTTAAAGGGTTAATCCGTGAATACTGATTTCGAAAATTAAAAACCTAATATCTTTTTAGCATACTAGTTAATCATGTTGGATCCTCTATTTCGAATTCATAAATTTTTACATCGAAATCGTAATTAACACCTACGTATCATCCACGTAAACCGAGTTTCGTGAAAATCGGGAAACCCTTGGAAGTTTTCGTCAGTTTTCACGGATTTGGAAAACCGCTATGAGACGCTTCAATGACTAATCAAATAATTTCACTTGTTTTGTTTGTTTGCAGTACATGGACCGATACTTCCCGAAGGTATGACATATAAACATTTATTATTTTAATTGTAACGGTTTCGAAAACAGCGCTTCGAAGGATCTGTAATCGATATACAGGGTGCACAATTATTTAAATGAAAACACCTAAATACTTGTGTTGCTTAAAGATATATATATACTAATACTGTTCAAACCAAAATGAATCTGTTGTAAGAAAAATATTTAGTAACAAAAAAACGTTGAAGACGTCTAATTTCAACTTTCTTGTTTCGTACGTACTTGTAGATTTTTTAATATTTTAGAGTCATCTATCCATTTTGTTTTTTCAATCTCCTGGATAAATCAATTACAAGACTGACCGCTTTTTTGTTCATTTTTCTGCTTCATTTGCTTGTAATCAAGATTTAATATGTTGAATTGGATTCGTATATCGTAGACCAATGGAGATTAGTATATTTTTTTAAGGCTCGTAAAATTGATTCATTTCTTTTCTTTTTATTGAAAATTATTGTATCATAGTTTTAATGACATAATGAATAAATCATCATTAAATCGTATTTTATGCCGCAAAAACGAGGCGACTAATAAAATATTTTTTGTTCAAACGGATGCCGATAATCCAGTGGTGGATTATAGGATAGATAAAAACGGGCATTGCGCAAGGCCCAAGATATTACAAAAAAATTGAAAATGCCACATTTATTCGTATTACCGAAAGATATATACAATAAATTAAATCATTTACTTTCTTTCTTGTTCGACATTAGACAAATTATATCATATTTTCATATTTATATATCATATTTTCAATTATATAGTACAGTAATTCAACGTTTTCTTCAAATTTACCTCACATATTAGAGTGATTTTAACATCATAATAAAACGTTTTAATTGTTCTATTATCGATCAACTATTCTTACATTTTAAAAATATATCATTTCCAACATTATAATTGACGGAAAAGTAATGGTTATTTTTAGGCTCGCATGATGGTGGCCAAAAAAATATTCTTATAATTTTATCGAGGTCCTGTTAGAGATTAATCCGCTACTGATCTCACGTACAATAGGAATTGCTTACGTTTTAATATAATTCTCATTTAAACTGAAAGCAATAAATGTAAGCCGCTTTTTATTTAGCCTTATAAATGTGCAACCATTGGTTTACGAACAGAGTTACTGTATACATTTGTCTGATTCCATGCTCGCCACAATAGCTTCAGTCTGTAAGTTGTAAGCTAAAGCATGTAGATTTTCGATTCTGTGTACCGTTCGATATGTGTGTCGTTAATTGAAAACGTCGTCTGTTAAGTGTGATATTTAGAATGGGCGAAAGGGTGAAACGACGTGTATTGTTCGAATGATTCGATAATAGGAAAGTTGCATTTTTCTTTTCAGCGGCAATTCCATAAGAATACACCCGGTAACACAGATTCCTGGTAGCTAAGGACACTGATCTTTAGTGTCCTTAGATTGAAGTGTTCCATTTCAATCGATCTACGAAATGATCTCTAAAATTAGCGATCTTTATTCTTTTTTTTCGAATTGAAAAAATTACCAAATGTACTTTAAAAAATATCTGAAAAATTCACAAAAACATTAGATAAATTCTTCTCTGTAAAAAAAAATCTTAAAAAATACTTGATACTTGGACTCCTAATGTGGTTTTTCCCCTTAAGACATCAGTGCTTGGAAAGAGGTTGAGGCATAAGCCGAAAAGTAAAAACGATAGCATAAAGTTGGCTATTTGTACTCCTCAGTTGACAGGAATTTGTTTGAATGGGAAGAGCATTGAATACGAATGAAACAGTCCTCCACTTTGCACAGTTTAATTAATAAGAAGCACAAATTTTGTTTGTTCTGCATCTGTATTGAATACCGATGGAACGCGTCTTGGAAATACTTTCTTCTGCACTTTCTGTTCAGCTCAGCACATTTTGAATTACACAACTTAAACTATATAAACAGTTCCCAAAAATAAAAAGAGTTCATACATTTCAAATGCACTTCTCACAACACATTGTTATGTATGACTTTTCTAATTTCTTCATGCATAGGGAAGATGTTGACTTAGAAGGCCTCCAGCATGACACTCAAACTTTCATTAAAAAAATACCTCTGACTCGTTTGTATTCTTTTAACAGAGAATTTTTCACACCTTTTCTGGCAAAACGAAATTATTTACACACCAGCAGTTTGGGATTAATTTATACGATTCTTTCAGTTGCCAGATGTCACCTCTGCCTTGTACAATATCACCATGTTGATGAGGGGCAACATCGTGTCAGAAGTCAGCCAGGGTAAGGAGTCATTTCTGAAAATACAGAAAGACATTCAGTACGCGGTGAATCAGACCATTCCCACGGTCAGCGCAAGCATCAGAAACGTTGGAGGCTTCTCAGCTGCTCTTGCAAACAACATAACAGCTCTCCTCGATAGGATATATGTTGACGTAGACAGGGTTTACATCCGGCATGTGGATATTGCTCGAACAAACATTGATCGGTACTCGCCATACAGGTAAACTCCTTAATTCGAGTAAGGTAGGGTAATTCTGACCAACTCCCTTCATTATCCTCGATATAAGAAAAGTAATGTTTAAACCATGAGTAATATTTTCCTCTGACATAAGTACATATTCGTGATCACCGTGTAGATCAAACAAATAAAATTTCGTGGTTTTGCATATGATGATGTATTTTGTTGAAAAAGAGAAGAGTATATAATGTTTTTAATTGTCTGGAAATAAGAGACTAGTTAGATATACATAGTGAAACTCATTTATGATATAGTACACTGCAGAGCATAACTATAGCACCATATTTTTAACACCTGCCATTTTTTAATCTATAATATAATGTCTAACTTTATTAAAAAAATAATTAGAGAGTTTATCCATACGTATCGCACCTTTAAAACTAACAAAACTCGCTTATTTATATTGATGTTATAGCTATGCAAGAATCGAAAATCACTGTTTTGATTGCTTCAAGTCGGTTATAAGAGCAGCTTCGAAGAGATTAATATAAAAATCATTTCTTATCATATCCTTTCACCTGATATGATTGATCTTTCCCCAGTGCTTTTGAACTGTCTGAAATATTAAAAAATGTAGGCGGTGTTATAGTTATGCTCCACAGTGTAAGTGAACAAATTGTTTTACACGTAGTTAACTTATTAAAATATAAGCGACAACTAGTTATCAACATTGTCTCGTGCTACTTTGGACAGTAAAGGGTAACAAGAACAAAGTACATAGATACTTTTGTTTATTTTTTTAATAATTAAAATTATGAATTAGTATTAATCACCAAGTACGGGAGAAAGCATAAATATTTAGTTAGAAAAAATTAATTTGGAAAGAAACTTGTGTTGGTGAATCCAAACATAGATTAAATTATTTGTATAAAAATAATTAGAAATTTTTTTGTATGAATTTTAAACAGAAATAATTTGTACTTGACAGAGTCTTTATCATAAGCACCCAAACATTCATTTTCTTCCAATTGTCAGTTTAACGGGCGTAATTTATTTTTAAAAAGTTTAAATATCAGATTATACCAGTTTTGCATGAAGTATCCCTACTAAAATTTACATTGCCGATTCTTTTTAACAATTGACAAATTCTTTGCTCTTCTAGGTACTACCTGGGTCTAGGTATATCTGGAGTTGTGTTGACCGTTCTGATGTGTTTGACTTTTGGCCTATTTTGTGGAATTTGTGGAAAACGGCCCGACGGTTATGGTGACGATTGCTGCAACAAAGGATCCGGAGCACGATTTTTGATGATGTAAGCAATAGAACTTTTAACAAAGTCAACGCAATAATAAATTTACAACTTATACATGGTAAACGAATTTGTTTAGGGCTGTTTGGATCATTTTCCTTCTGACGAGCGTCCTAATGGTGATCACCGTGGTGCACATGGTCACTGGTGTCCTGATGCAACGTGCAGTCTGCGAACCTTTAAAGAATCCCAACGACAACAGAATGTTCGCTCTGGTCGATGAAATCGTTCAGGTCAAGAAAGTACTGTACCCCATCTCCGACGTGAACATGAGCTACATTGTTACGTAAGTGTCTCACAACTGAGGATCCAGCAATTACAATTTTCACAGCAGCATTTCTCAAACATTTATCGCACAGAACACAGTTCAAGATGAACAAACCAATATTTACTTTTGATTTCGTTACAGACAGTGCCACCTGAACGAGTCGCTGTACACTGTGCTGAATCTGGAGCACCGCTACGATGTGAATGCACTACGGGATTACGCCGGGCGCTACGACATCAACAACACTATCCAGCATCTGCGTCGCAAAATTAATCTGTCTCCAGACGTGGTGATTCTCACGGGAAGTGCCAAGTTGAAGCTCAACGATCTCGCGCAGAGCGGGCTCAGCGACATCAAGTTCTATCAGTACGCCGAGATCCTCGCCGAGAACATCACCAACATCAATTTGGAACATTTGGCAAAACAACTGCGGGAAGTAGCCGCCAAGTTGCCCGAAGACCAGGAGGTTATTCGCCTTAGCCTGGAGAAGAACGCGAACGATCTGGAGCAGTATCATAGAGACCTGGTGATACCGATGGCGACACTTAGCGAACAATTGAGCGAGAAAGCGTTGACGCTTCAGGAGAATATTAATTTCAATCATAGCTCGATGGCGGAAGCCATTCACGACCTCGTCGAAGAAGTTACAAAGGCGCAAACGTTTCTGAACAAAGACGGACCAGAATATGTCCAACATGTAATTTTGCTCTTTCTTTACTTCTATTTGTAGCAGTTTTAAGAGATCTGACTAGTTTGGAGCCCTTAGAATTGGGTAATGTTTGAAATTTTATTTTTAGGAAACTGTTGCATAATATATTTTGTACATACATTTATTCATGTGAAGATAGCATTATTCGTTTACTCGTGATAATGAATAATAAAGAAGTAAGTGTTATTGGTAATTTGACAAGAATCCTTGGGCCCTATTCAATTTCAAAGTAATTGCTACATTGGTTTCCTCAATTTTACGTTAACTAACTTGAAAAAAGCCAGTTTTGAGAAAAACTGGTTTAAAGTTTCGGTGAACAATGTTAGAGTAGATATATAGGGAGTTCAGTTGAAGGTTTTATAACGTTGCCATTTTTTCAATTTTCAAGATATTATTTTATTTTTATAAAACGAACCTTTAAAAAAATATAAAAACAAAATTGATTTGTTTTTACGTCCGAGCTAGACAGATCTTACCTTAGAAATAAGACCAAACGTTGCGACATCTTAATAATATTAAGTTATTTCTGTTTTTAGCTAGCAACCAGGTTCGGAAACGCTTTTCTTCGCCAAATTGATGACTACCTCGATTACGTCAGCGTAAGTGCTTTGAAAGATGTTGGAAGATGTGCTCCTGTTTCAAACGCTTACAACGCTACTCTGGTCGCCGGTTGCAATAAGATTCTGGATCCATTTGTAAGCATACCAATAAACAAATCGTTATATATGCAATTTACTATGGCTGGTCCTATCACAGGATGGGTCAATTAGATCATTTGGCCCGTGCCTCAATCTTACAAGGGGTCTCTGATTTAGAGAAAATATTATTTCATTCTGTCCCAGATTTGTTAAGTAGACTTATCGGTTGCACATGATATTTTCACATAGATATATCATTTATTTAATCACGTAGTGTTTAATTCAAATATGAATTAATTCATCAATAGATAAATAAGAGATTAGATAGATAATCTTTTTTTTTTTGTTAACCCTTACCGGATGACATTATTCTACCTGACGATAGAAAAACGGTACAATAACATTACTTGTTATAAAAGAAGATAACATTTTCCTTAACGAAAATAACAGTTTTTGTATAGAAAGTACGTTTTCTTACTTTTTTATTATTAACGCTTTAACCGCCGGCCTATTTAGAAAGGTCCCATACGTTAGAAGAGAACTTTCTACATTAGTATACATATTAATCTAGACTCACTAGTCCTTCGAACCGAATCAAAATGATATGTACGCGTAGTCTTCGCTATGGGTTAGAAACTGGGATGTGATCGTTGAGGTGCATTCTTTCCAGATGTTCGCTTTAGTTTCTCTTCCAGATACTCGTTGGCCTGTGAAGAACGTAAACTTAGTGGTTCTTCGCAAGCCTTCGATTATCTGGTCGTCCAATATCGATATCGGTGAGCCTGCAATAAACTAATTTCGAGGAGCGATGACCATGCTACACGACACTGACAATTAACTTTTGCATACTGTTACTAGGTATATCATGAGTCTTGTCTGTTTTCAAAACTTGAGCATTGTAAGTAGTTAATCAATAACACAGTTAATATCATTCCACAAGATAATCACTGAAATTAAAAAGCCGATAAATAGGCTCTCGGTAGATAAAGTTGTAAAAAGCTACTAAGCTACTTTCTTTAGACAAACAGTTATGTATTATGTCACGTAAGAAATGACATATGTCCGTTAAGGGTTAATATAGCGAGGATATAAAGTGAGGATTAAATATAAATAGCCCCGTCCTTTGTTGATTTTTATAAATCCCGCTATTACAATACTAAAATGTTTTTGTCTATTTGTTTGTTGACAACGTGTAGAATGGTTTCTGGGTGAGTGTCGGATGGTGCTTAATCCTCTTCATTCCAACCATAGTGCTCTGCGTGAAACTGAGCGCGCTGTATCAGAAATCGGACCCGTACCCAGGACCCCTAGTCGAAGCGTAAGTTTCTGTTATTTTTGTGTCGTTTAATCCCCAACGATGAATCAAGTGTTACTAGGTGTTCCCAAGACAATTAGATATCTGGTGCATGCCAACCATAAAAGAATCAACGTCTCCTTTGCCATGAAATTGAAATTGTACGATGTCACTTATGAAATTTAATAAGTAAGATAAAGCTTTTAACGGAAACTATAAATCCTAAATAAAGATTGTATATCGTTTAATTTATAAATTTAAGTTTGCAAAGAGTTACATTAGGATAAAATCAATTGAAACTTGAACTGCTCGTCGAGGGAATTCAGAAATTACTGAGAACAAAAATATACTTAATGCGATTACTCATCACGATTACTCGAAAACAATCGCTTCTATAATTTCTATAATTTCTCGCCAACAAATTCTAAGCACCCTTCATGTAGAAAGTGTTGAGTCTTCTATCTCGATCTGGTAGTTAATCGAGCTTCCATATACCCATAGCATGCACTTATTCGCGCTTGTAATGCCTTTCATTTTCTAGACGGCATGAATCATTCTACTGTTTCGTTAGCGAGTCTCGAAGTCGCATCGCCAATTTTCCCGAACAGTCTTACGTGTGCCCCTAATAAGCGCAGCAGACTGCCTATTCACTTTCAGTTTTCATCTACTCGGTGTGTCCGTGTGCTATTAACTAATAAATCGTCGTGTTGATTGTACACGTCTCACGAGACGTCTCACGAGATCATCATACTATGAAAAAGAACGCTAAAACATTTGGCACAATATGTTCTCGCGGCAGGGATTCGCTCGTCTGATACTTTTTGCAAAAAAATGCCGGCAAACTGACCAATTTCGAAACAGGTGTTACTCCTATTTCTTTAAAATGAACATTTCAAAATGTGTCGAGTCTTAATTTTGGTAGCACAGAAAGTAACCAGACCACCGAATGCTTTCCCACTCTTAAATACAGTAGTTTACATTAAGTTAAAAGTAGCTGTCTAATGTGTGGAATGGTTGTTGAAATCTAACCGCTAACACGCTCCGTTCCAGTGAATATTTGTATGACGCGTACGCAGACAGGGATAACATACCCCTTGCTCAGTAAGTATACAACGACAAAAGCCAAGTTGCTCGCATGCCAAATTCTATTGGTTGTGTCGCATGTATACATCTATCCCTAACGCTGTGAACACGTCATGACTATTGGCACTAGTATAGTACACCATCCAATTTTCTTTTTACCCTAACTCTACATACACCTGGTAGTAAAGACATAGAATATTCGAAGAACTCACGTAGACCGATCTATTAGCCTTGTAATTCCTTCTGACTGCACGGAACACCTAGTTATAACGCGACGAGCACTCTAAACGAGATATTGTGGGATCAGGAAATCTTGTACGGGAAACAGTTGTAGAAGAATCAAACGACATTGGAAGTAATCTACATAATCTGTGAAAGAATTCGAATTCCATTTGAACGGGTTTTAAATTTTGCCCTTTCCAATATTATGCAATATTATGACACGTGGATGATGTATGAAGAAGAATCTGAGAGATTCAGGGTATATCTGTATCAAGATGTTTCTTTCACAAATCTTACAATATCGCTGTAACTACTAGAACGTATATCTCTATAGTTTGCAATCAATTCTCTGCTGTTTAATGTACGCTTTTAACACCTTCTCGACTACGTTGTTCCAAAGTCAATAAACGAATTTTCGGATCAACTAATCGTTGAACAGCGTCACGCCACGCCATCAATTCAAAAGGTGTTGATTAGTCCTAGAAATACTAATGTTGGTGTACTACCTTTCCAACTCTTTTAACTCTTTAAGCGCCGCAGTAAAAGTAGATTATGTCATTTGAGTACAATGAGCCACGGAAAGAGCTGTCGTAAAACACTAACATCGCTGAATAGCGATACGAAGTGATATTTTTTTAATTTCGGAATTCATACAAATTATACAAATTACTAAAATTGTACTGTACGGTCATATTTTGTAAATAATATTATGTGTAGAGAACTTTTTCGAATTCATCGTCGACTATATCACACACATCACCCTTCCAATGTGTATCGTGTAGTAACGGCGATTCCCCTGTTTGTCTGTTGAACATATATTATATATTATATGTATATATTGCGAAGATGTAGCATTTAGTGACGTTAGTGCTTTGCAACTACTTTTTTATGACTTATTATACTAGTCCCTAAGCAATTCTCTATTATGCTGGTCCACAGGGCGTTTAAATTATTAACAGAGAACGACTTCTGAATTCTCTTCCTTACATGCGCAAAAAGTAACGAGCTCGATGGCATGGGGGCTGATGTTTGACGCGTGACAAGCTATTTAGGACATTAACGACACACAAAACACGCAGAAACAGCTTCTAGCAAAACAGTACACTGATTCTCTAACTCGCATGACGAGTGTTAAGGCGGGTCACCGTTCACAGGGATAACACGTGTCTTTTATTTGCAGTGTTCATGACAAGAAATACGTATCTCAAAGCAGACATCATCCATCGGCATATGTCGAGAGCTATGACGGCCCTGCGGTCGGATACGAGCGGGAAAGGATCTCTGACGCGCATCAAAGCACGTCTCACCATGACTCCAGATACTCTGATTTGGCGCCGAAGTAAGTGTCCCAACGAGTCGCTCGTGATCCACGAAGCAGAGACCTCTTAAGGGACAGGATAATTCAAGGTCAAAGAGTAATCTTCTGAATGAAATTATATAAGGTTCTGAGCAATATAATGCATACCTTTTTTCTAAAATCTCTTATCCAAATAATTCTTCTGGAATGAATGTTGCTATATTAGTTGTACAACTATACACGATGCTGCTGCCTTAAAGAAAAAAGGACATACAGTGTTGCTTCTTTAGTTTGATGTCTAAATCACTGAAATTTTTCTTTAACTTTTTAGATTCATCTAATTTTATTAGCACTTTAATAATTACGATACATGTAACATGTAAATATGCAAAAGATAGTTCCAGTTGTCCTAATACATTTTAATTCAACAGAAAATAATGGTATTACAGAGTAGTGTATGAGCAATTGAAGATAGTATTATTGAACTGTGTCATTGTACAACTAATGTAGCAGTTACATTGTTGTACTACTAATGTAGTAGCTGTGTATCCGTTAGTATGAAACTACAAAATCTGTGATAATATACATGTTATGTGTGTATGTATACATAATCACCAATGAATGCGTACAGTCACCAAATTAACTGGTGAGAATTCAAATAATCTTTATAATAACGTCTTACTGACGATATCTAAACGATAACTAAAAATCCATCTATATCTTGTACTTTTTTTTTTTTACAATGGCCAAAACTAGGTTGGCTTTATTTACAGGACAATAGTGACGAATAAATAGTAAGCTATGGATGCAACAATAAGAAACACAAATAGGTAATTACGATTTATTTTGAATTTAGAACGGTTATTCGCCATTACTCTCCTACAATTATTTAATTGATTTCCGTAATTTCATAGTGATCCCAAAAGAGTAGAAACATCATTTAAAAGATTGTTCATTCATCTCAATTTTCTTGTTCACTAGTCCTTTATCAAATATTAGAATAAACAAGGTTGTGAAAACAATGAATGTTTCATACATACATCAGCTAATTTGGTAACTGCATGCATTTACTGATGATTATATACAATCATGATTTTATATATTCACAGTAACATATTCATTAAAAGATGAACTTGTTAAAACATTTGCATCTATTTCAAACAACATGTGATAATTTAAAGACTGTCTACTATAATTACATACAATTCATGGTAATGTTTTCAATTTTAGTAGAGACTTATCCTGTTCCTTTATGACACTGTTTTCTCTTCAATCATTTTACTTTGATCATCGTCTCTCATTCTTTGGGAGAAGCTGCTATTGATCAAGCGGAACGTAGAATACATTCTTGAAGGATGTAAAGACCTCAGGGTTGATTCTCGTGAGTGAACACCGACTGAATAGTACGGTGTTGATCGTACTCTTGAACGATTCTGGGATTTCCTATAATTTCTCCGGTTCACTAGTTCACCTCTGGTTTGTTTTGCAGTTCCAACCCCACGTGGCGAAGCCACGAACCCACCATCCCCTCCAAAACAGAACCACACACTAAAGTCTTTAGCATATCGGTAAACACGCAGTAAGTCTTGCATTACTTTCGGAGCTTCAATCTTCAAATTCAGCTTTCTGTGACACTTTATGCAATTTCTGTTCGACGGGACTGTCGCTCGGTTTCTGTCGCATCCCGACCTGATCTTACCACCAATCAGTTCACTCCCATTTAATTTTTCTTTCACTTCATCGGTGAGCAGGGTTCCCACTCATCGCGCGAATGTTCTTTCTATATTTCGCTCCTACGTCTCTCTAACACGCTGAACTTAATCAAGGATGGGATCAAGTTTAATATGTATTTACATACCTGAGTCAGTTCAGTTAGATAGTTGGAGTTGAAATAGTAACTACATATAGCTTTACGTTTAATCGTTCCTTTTTATTCAACACAGTTATATTTTACAGAAAACTTTGCAAATGTGTTCGAACAAATTTCATTAAAATCAAAGATGTATTCGGTTATGGGAGCATTTTATATTAGAGACACGATTATGTATATGAAGCTCTTATTGAAAACTCCAAGAACATAACCATGCCTCCAACACAATTTATTGATTTGTTGTTCTTTGGCTTGGAACCTCAATTAAAAATAGATATAAAGGTATCGTGAATGGATTCATAAATCATAACTTTTAGCTGACGGTGTTAACTGTGATCTGCCGGTGATGAATATAATGTACACAAATTTTGTTAACTATAATGCAGAAGGTGATAAAATCAAAATATATAGGACACTGATAGCGCTATATTGAGAAGAATAATTGTGTTGAATGCATGGTCATATTCCCTGCATTTTTTTATAATTGTATCTCTAATATAAAACACTTTTACAGCCATTACACCTTTAATTTTTATCGTTTCATTGAGGAGCAACTATAGTTTCTGATGGTATATTACTTTCGTATAATGAATAGTGAACTATCAGCAACGTTTATAATTTATATTTCATTAATCCTTTGCATTATGAAGTCACTTTTAGCGTGACGAAATTATTTTTCTCTAAAACTATAATGTCAACTCTGATGAGATACTTCGTGCAGTTAATAAACGAAAGTAGTGGAATACAATTTTATTAAAAAATGTTTTAAAAGTGTATGTATATACATTAGGATGGTCCTTCTTTTAATGATTTTTTAAATCTATGTAATGCACCTCCTAAATACATTGCAAATACGTACAAAAAAATTCCTACATTTGGGCACTTAATTTTAACAGTAACACGTGCCACAAACCTTCTAAAGTTTGAAATGGAAAATACATGCAATTTCTTCAGTCGGTTACTTTTTTATTATGTATTTGCAAGGTATTTAGGGTGTGCATAACGTAGATTTAAAAACTCATTAAAATAAGGACCACCCTAATGTACATAAAAATATTGTACACCTTTTATCATAATAATATTAATGTGTTTCTCATCAATTATTGAAACATAATCGCATTGAATTGCATATATAACTGATTCCTGTAAATAATCTGGAATATTTGAAGAGGTAAGTTTTATGTGCAATTATTGTTAGTATTATGTTTATTCTCGTGCTTGAAGGCTTAATTAGACAAAGTAATATTGAAAAACTTGTGACAAAAAGTTAATTTTACATCTAGAAGATTGTTTGAAGAAATATCACACTACAAAAAGATGGAAATTAACTAAATACTTTGATATTATGTATTCTTTTTTTATTGCTAAAACGATAAACTTTAAATAACTAAAATCCAGAAAAATCGAATCAAAATTAGCCGAGAACAAACTAAGAAAGCACTTACAGTGCAAAGGGTTAATTTCCACTGATATAAACGAACATTCCGAGAACGAACTTTCTTTTCTCGTTCAAAGAATAAATTTTGTAGAGCATTTATAAGCATCGAAGACGTATATTTTGTTTTGTTTTTATTAATAAATGATTTAAAGGGGTAGATCAGGTTTAGACTTATCGTTGATACCACTTGATCCCATCCGTGTACAACTCATGCAACCCCGTTGGTCACGCTTTTTCTCCCGGTTATTTCCAGGTGAGTGGGAACCTTGCGGGGGGGCAACTTCCCGCGTCTCTCGATACGCCTCTGCACGTAAGTCGCAAGACAGATTGTTATCAAATACGTCTTCGTTTTTATTAGTTCCTATTTCTTTCTTTTCTTTCTTTTTTTTTTTTTTTAAATTCATTTACTTACCTTTTTTTTTGTTCAATTTCTTTGCGTCGCAGGCAAAATAGCTTTGCTAGAGCTTTTACGAGTCGGTTACTACAAGCTGGAAGAAATTCGCGTGGCATCAACAGTTACCCTACACGCCATCGCAAATACGAATTGTGTTAGACGATATAAGACCTGAATAGAGCATGTTTTCGAGTTTCGAGTCATCGTTTTATCAAAGGAAGTCACAGATACAAAATTAACTTCGTTTTTGCTTCGGCAGCTTCGTCATTTGTTTGTTCGCTAAGGCATACATGCTGTGGCAAAGACACTACGTTCGATGTTGACGACTTTTATCTTGTACTCTTTTTTCTTTGTGTTCGTACTTTTTTTTTTCTCGTTCGATACGTCTGACGAAGGATAGAGTATAAGTTGTACAAAGGAAAATGTATTTTGTGATTTGTTAACGCGATAGTGTTGGTTGCAGAAATTGGGACTTCCCTAATGGTGGTCCTCCTAGGTACCAGCCGGCTGCCGTGGCTCCTCCGCCGCTGAGCACAGAATACGAACGACCACCTCCTTACTATTATCCTGGGCCAGGGTAAGACTCCTCAGATTTTCTAACTTTATACCGATGCATACAAAGCCAGGATAAAAACTGTTATTAAAGTCGTGAAGTAGCATGATGACAGGTTCAAAGTAATGTTCACACTAGATGTGCTTCGGCATCCTGTACTCTATCATTTCTAGTTGTTATCGTTGAAATGTTGACATTTGAAGCACGCTAGTGTGTTTACAGCGGTCTGTTACGCGAGCGTACGTACATATACGCAGATTCTAGTATGATACTTACAATACATTTTTATTAATAACTTTTTAATAAGCAGTGAGCGCCGGTTAAGTCATTAGAAAAAGTTACTCGGGAACATGGCCTTGGCAACATATGTCAAGGTCAAGGTGATCAGAGATGCCTCCCCTAATGTAAACAATTACCATGTATGGTATAAGTATTCTTGGCAGACGGTTTAGTAGAGTGTCTTAAAAATAAATGATTTTGCAGAGATCACGATAACTCAAACCAGGTTCAAGTTAGAACAGTGAAACTAAATTAATTAGTTTCCTTAGTCGAAAAGCTAGTGAAACACATAGCCGTTTTTAAAAATATACATTTTTAATAAAACAGCATCGTTCCAAAGTAAAACATACAAATTTAGCCTACAATTCCGGTACTTAAAGTTGCATAAAAAATACAAATGTATATATTACTATACTAACTATAACAATTTGTTCTCATGCAAATAGTACGAAAACAGATATTTTTACAAAAAAGAAATATAAGTTCTAACAGTTGTTTTATTAAAAACACTTAAATGTCACTTTCAATCCTTGGTTTGAAGTATTTATAAAAATATTTTTAGAAATATTGTGCTTGCTATAAGCTTTTGTATGATACTTTTCAGGGACAGAAATTAGGAAACAAGTGCCGTGGCATGCACAAAGGTAGCGCTGAGTAGCGTAGCTACTCATAGTCTCACCCGCAGTTACAGAAGGACGCTCAAAAAGAAAGAGAAATTCAGATGCAAACGGGACTACGTTTAATCGCAGCGTTCCTGATGGGCGTGCCACGGACCGTGCAAACGGCAAAATCAATTAAAGACCAAGTTTGATACAGACTGAGGTAGACTAAATGGAACCCTTCGGCGAGCGCGAGTAATGTGATCTACGTGTGCGATTCGTTTAACTTTAGTATTATTTAAAAACCAAGCGTTACAACGAGAGAAACGTTCACGTTGCGGGAACAGTTTCAATCGTGCTGTCACCTTTTCTTCGGTTTCCCCTCCTAATTGTTTATTGTTCATTATTTTTTTTTTTTTTTATTATTTTTTTTTATTACAAGACGATCTGTAATGTAGCGATGATTTTCATCGTTTGTGCTATATTAATTGATTCCTTCACATGACTGATCGTTTATCGCCCTTTTCTTCAACATTTAATCTTTCTTCTGTTAATTGCCATTGCGACCAAGTGTTCTATCCTTGATCTACGATACGTCTTCAAGCTTTTGCGTGTATTACTCGTTACAAACATTGACTGGCAACTGCCGAAGACGTGCCGAATGTTATCGTCGTTTATTTTTATTAAAACAAAGTGTTTTTTTTAAAGGTCCGCGAGGAAATTTTGTTGAAACACTCAGTTCACCTTTGCATTCAGTTCCTAACGCACAGGATTGAAATCATCGTCTGCATTAACCAGTATTAATAAACGTTCTTTATCGTGCCTCCCTTACCGACCCACTGGCGTGTACTGCTTCTCTTTCATCGGACACATCGTGTGTTCGGAAAGTAGCGAACGTGTGTATATTCAGCCGCTTGTGTCTTATGAATTATGTCCTCCTCCACTGTCTTTTACATGAACTGCCTACCGGAGCAACAAAATGCACGGATAACAATGATGAGAAATGAGTGTAGTTAGTCGCTGCAGGAAGCACGTGCGATCGACTCGACGAGGGATGTTTTCTGCGTTGGTTCTTTACGACAGAGGTAGCCAACTCGATTAGTTGCGGGCATACATTCGTTGGTCATGCCTATAAAGCCGGCGACTGACTTGCAACAGAACATTGTAATCTAATGCGAGCATTCGCTTAGTTTGGCGGACTAGCGAGCAACGAACCGAGCCGTTCTTGCGCTCGGTTCGCGCTCGACCGTGCTCCACTGGTCTGTCGGTTTTTTGACGAACCTCTTTGATCGTCTACTTTTCACTGAACCGAGTAGGAAGCATTGAGAGAGAATTTAGCTGAGAATTCGAAGCGAGCATTCGTGATTCCAAAAAGGACCTTGTAATGTAACGTTGGTGGCGAACCATAAAATTCGTGCCGAACAGTTACATTACAGCGTTCTGTTACAAGTCAGTCGCTGGCTTAATAAATCAAGTTGGCTGTGCCTGCTTTAAGATTACAAAGATGATCCTTTGTAAAGTTTCGGCTTTAACCGTGAACCAATTTATTACTCCTAGTCTACGTCGTGCTTAGAACAAAAAGTAAGCCATCGGCAAATGGTTAACAGTAGGGGATGTGCGATATTTGCTTCGAACATCGATATTAGATGTCGTTAACAATCGGTATCTACAATGTGAATATACGCAATATATTGAATTAATATCGATAAAATTTGTATTATAAATAAAACAGTCACAATTAAAAATGATGTATAGGTTAACATGGATATTGTAAATGATTATTGTGTAACTCCGCAATCATTTTCATTCTAAAAGGTTAACAGAAAAAAGTTGTTATATTAATACAATTAATTACCAATGTACACTATACCATTCACGTCCGTGACCACTGTCCTGTCGCGGTTAAAGCGATACTATATATAAATATAAAAAATATTTCATTGAAATTCAAAAGTCAAAAGAGATTCTACATTATCATATTTATATATCGGTGGCCCATATTTGTGTAAATAATATCGATATGTCAATATATCGTTTCAAGAAATATCTAACAGAATATTAACATAATGTTTCGAAAAAGTGTCAAACATCGTTGTATGTCGCGCATCCCTAATTAACGCTAAGGAATTAGAACCCAGCGCGATGCGATTGCAGATTAGCTTTAAGTCTTATTGTTAAGAGATTTTTTTCCGTGAAATTCTGTTCGCTCCAAACGACACTGCCGTCTCTTGAACCAAGTCACGTTCCGTGGATCTCGTCGATCACGCTACGGCTTCCGGATAAATGTTTGCGAAACGATCGTTGATGCTTCGCAAATCTCGAGCACTGAACAACGCCATATTTAAATGCCAAACGACGTTCTTCGCGCGTGGTCCGTGGAATTGGAACGTGCCACGGGGTCGCCAGTTCGAATTCCACGGTTCTCACTGTCCTCGACCTTTCCCGACCACTTGCAGGGATAACTGAGTCCTGAAACTAATTTCCACCTCGCCGCAATTCGAACCGATGGTTCTCCGACAGTGGAAGATAGTTTCTCCGCAAAGGTCGTCGCTACAAAATACTCTCTGTACATGGTTCTTTAAGTAGACGTTTTTCTTACTATTAAACTTTACCGTGTAATTTACTGATCTAAGCTCCTACGGAGATGTTCGCGCGTCGCATAGAGGTTGTACATACACCGGGCAGCTAAAAACTTGGCCATACTTCGATAGACACACAAACGTCTTGCCCATTGTATAATACTTCAATCGCCATGCAGGTATTACATATGTCGATTTTTTCGAGTTTTTATCTCCTTGGGCGGTATAAACCTGCGCTCGTATTCACTATATGGATATCGGGTAATCAGTTCACTCACCCAAACACCAGCTATCGTGCACACCACATGACGGTTGACCATGAACTGCAGCTGGCAGTATACTGGCAGCTTTTGTGCAATTATAGTAGTATGGACAAGTTCTTAGTAAATGTATACGTATTGTTAGTCTACATGACTTGCGAATACCCGAAGAAGTGAATGCTACGTTTGAATACAGTATCTCGACGCGATGAATGAATCTGTCTATTAGTATGACGAGGAAGTACTTTCGTTTTAGGTAGTCTCTGTTGGAGGGACTATGATACATCCCCGAGTGAAAGCCTCTCAAAGGCTGTAGCGTCCACAGAGGGAAAAGACTCTGCTATACAGGAACTTTCTCTCTCAACAGATGTAAGTGAATTCGATGCAAAGACGATGGGATTCTTGCAAAATGATCCTGAATGCGCCAACTCGCTTCACAGAAAGCTGTAAAGGGCTAATAACACGTAGATGTTTAAATCTTTTAAATTTAGATGTTTTAAGTGTCCAAACATCACCCCGTATAAGTCCTAGAGAAATACACTAAGGAATCAGAGATTTTTTTGTCTGAGTATAGAGCATTACATGTCGAATTTGAAAGTTGATACCAAGGAAACGCACTTACATCTAATCATAGGGATTCTGAAATATTTAAAATCTCACAGTGACATGGACTTCTACCATGTGATGTCTGGGACTTTGGATTAAAGGTTGATGTTCGACGATGTTTCTAAGCATTGTCATTGAACTTTAGCCTCGACGAGGGACTGTCGTAAACCATAAAAACGACTAGATGTTGTATTGCATAGAGAATCTATTTCTCACAGTCGTTGCCGCGCGAGCAGCGAATTTTAAACTTAACATTGTACGGTAGATTACGCCGCCCATGCTACGGTCTTTGTTCGGCTGGTAGCAGATTGCCAAAAAAGAGGGAAAAATCCATTTTAAAAAAAATGTAATAAGAAGAGTACTTTCCTCGTATTGTATAGGCACGTGAGAAATTGGGAGCACAGATTCGTTAAGGTCTTTTTTAAAAAGAGAAAAATAACAGAGGGTGATAGAAGGGAGTACGTGAGAATAGGGTGAAAGGGACACATACCTCTGAATGACTGACTGTTCGGTAAAATGAAAAAAAGACGAGAGAAGGAATTTTGCAAGAGAAGACGATTTCCACTCTATCATTACCGTATCTACATACACGTTTAGCATAGTGAAAAGTAAGCTACGTTTTTAGCGTAATATCGACGTTCAACGGACACATTGTCGTCACCATATTGATGGAGAACCGGAGAACCGTGGTGTTCTTTTTGTTTCGTTTTGTAAAAAGGAGCTACGGAAAAGTAACGATCGAGAATTACTGTATATGGACTCGTAAAGCTGTTTTATCTGGTGGACTATGTATATTAGCCACGTATCATGTAGTGCGTGACGAAGACCGGAGAATGAGTGCCGTGTGGAAATTCGTGTGCAACTACACGAACGATGAAAATCGAAATTTCGTGTGCCTCTTAAAAGGCATACCGGGAGACACTTTTTTGGTGCTATTTTTATATCGAAAGCGTAGCGATGATTCGGTACCAAGGCACTCCTTCTCTGTGTGATGCTAAGACACATAAGCACTGTCAACCACTGAGAAGAAAGAAAACCCTTTTTACTATCTTCTGTGCGAAACGATGAGATGAGATATGAGTTAAGGTTTCTTAAGGCTCTCACAGCCATGATTCACCCACTGATAGTTTAACTTCTTGAAAATTAACCTAAAATAGTTGTTTTATTGAAGGGGAACGAAACTTCGAACGATTTTTTCTCTCAATGGAGCAGAGTTTACAAACTAAGTATTGTTAAAAAGCTCTAGTTATCAATTTTTATAGAAGGTTTACTAAATAAAATTTGCAGTTAATATTTTGCAACAATGTTTTACCTTATCTGACCCGTCAATAGGAATATAATTAATGTTTATATCTAGAGAGCTGAACTATCAATAGGCGAACAATTTTGAATGGTTTCAATGTTAAAGTATTTATATTTTCAAGAGTATCGTTGGAGAATTTTCTTATATTCTCTTGTCTGCTCAATCTTCAGGGCGCCCATGGCGTTTGAGCTGAATGTTCTAGGATTTCTTTCGCTGAACTTCAGCAGCCATTCCATCGGAATCTTTTTTGGAAAATTGCGAGGATCGAGAGAAACAGCTTCCCCGTCATCTTCCAAAAATGCATTCCGTTCTGAAGAATGTCGAATTTTTGATCGGAAATGTGCAAGTATGCGAATGTGATGGTGTATGCCATCAACTATGGTGTTTTTACGATTCACCGATTGTGTTTGTTAAAATTAATTATTATTGCTATTACGATGATTATTATTAATATTATTATTATATTATTATAAAATGAGTGTATCACAGTTTAAATATATCTATTTTATATTAAATCATGAACGCCGTGCAGTAATATTTTGCATGGAAAACGTTGCCCTGTTTATACTTAACGAAAATACTTTTATTGTGACTTAGACAAACGAATCTTCCACAGATAAACTACATTAACATTATGAAATTGTTTATTGTAAAAGAATCACTCATGGATTCTCCATTTTTATCATCAGCAATTGATCCGATTATCTTTACCCCACTTGCGCATCACTCGAATGATCTGCTCCACTTGTGAGTTCGACGTGTTCTTAAGAAGCTGAATAACATCAGACAATAGTTCTCTAAAAAGAGATAGGACCATGAAACAAAAACAAAGAGAGAAGAACCCAAATATAAACATTGTGCTTGTAATAAGATATTTGGGGCTTTCACTGGCCGATTCTTGATGATTAATATTAACTGAGACTTACACCCAGAAGCCTCGATTAATATTAACTATTGTCCTTGGAGAAGCTAATATAAAATGAATTAATCAGAGAGGAGAAATTTACTTGGGTTGTTTTTCAGCTACGATATATTGAAATGTACCACAGCAAGCACCACGTTTTCCTTCCCAATTCTCAGGACTAGGATCCATACGTTCTAACATATCAAAGGCTTTTGCTGCATACCAGAATTCACCAACTTTATAACAATCATTCGCAATTAGTTGCACCAAGTTAAATGACTCTGTAGACGTATCCATCTTTAGATACAAATCCCAGGCCAGCTGAGGCTTCTTGTTCATTATATCTAAAACAAAAAGAAAAGCAATGTGTATTGTGACTGTTTCATTGGGGTGGTTCTTATTTCAATGATTTCTGAAATATATGTTATGCACCCCTAAGTATTACAAAACTATTTCAAGTAGAGAAAATAGCTTCATATTTACTAGAGTGATATATGTTGTAGACTTACAAGAGTGTGCTAAAAGGCTAATGTAAATATAATCATTCTTGTATTTTTCATTCCGTATAATCAAGAAAGCCTCCTCTGCCTCCTTAAAATAACCCGCAGCGACTTGTGCTTGAGCATAATTGAAATTAAAGTTATCTTCATTGGAAAAGTAAGTCTTGATTGAATTCAGAAACACTAGAACTTCCTCGAATTGACGATAAAGAAAGAAGCAAGAGGCCATACATTGCCTACCAGGTACTGTATCACATTCTGAAGCAGAGGAACCCACTAGTTGAAAGTATTGTTGAGCTGTTTTTATATTATCGCGCTGAAAATGGATTTACTTTTAATTATTTCAGTTGTTTGCTAATATATTGATTTTATCAAGATCTTACAGAATTAATTTCTTGTCCCATCACTGCATTAACTATCCCTTTTAAGATATATTCCTGTGGAACAGATGGTTCAAGATCTTTGATTAATTCGAAAGCTTCTTCCACATCGTCTTGTTTCAAATAATAAATTACTAAATTAAGTCGAGCCTCCGGTATAACATCTACTAAATTGGGCAAAATTTGTAGTGCACCCTCGCCACCCTTAAACACCTAGAAGTAACTTTTTTTTTATAATTGTAATAGATTATAGGTAACAAATTGATAATATCTTAGAAATGTCTTAATAACATTACATACAACTGTATTGTGACGTATAAGGTCATAACCAAAGTTGAAGGAACTAGACATTTTTTCTACTAGCTGTTTCATTTCATTTTGTGCAGCACTGCCATTGTAGAGGCGAAAATGATTACATGCTTTCAAATTAATAGCAATTGCGCTATCAGGATACTTTTGTAAGTAAACTTGAAGAACTTCTTGAGCTACATCATAGTAATCCAATTTATAATAACACAAAGCAACATATACATTTAATGCAAAATAATCTCTGCAAAAAGTAAGACATTGTATACTTCAAAAGATATAATAGAATTTCCTGCAGGAACTCATATTAAACATGTTTTTATTTGGAGTTTGGAAATTATGGAAGATAGGATAAAGGAGGAAAAGGATACCTGGTATTTTCTAATTTTTCAATCAAGTGTACATCCGAATTTCTATCCGTCAGAATATTTCCATCAAAACTACTTAAATTATCGCTATCTGAATCCCTGAGCAAGCATGTGAATTAGATTCTAAAACTTTTTACCACTTGTTAAACAAAATAAAGACAATTTGATAAGCACCTGTTTTCAAGGAGAATCTTTTTATAAACATCGATGGCCTCTTGGTAATGAGCTCTGAGATAATGAATAGATGCCAAACTAAGCTGATCTTCTATAACATCTTGTAGCATATGATGGTACTCCGTTAATTTTGATTCATTACCCATTTTCAGTGCTAAATGAAGCATGAGTCTATTTTTTAATTTGCTATCTAGAGCATCTTCCAGAATCGCCTGTGACTCAGGGTACATTCCAAGATAAAAGTAACAACAAGCCAAATTTGTTGGCAATTCGATGGGTGCATGTTCCTTCTTTCTTAAGTTCTCGTAAATTGTAACTGCACGTTTGTAATCTCCTAGGTGAAAAGCACAGTAACCCATCCATAGTTCTGAATTTAAACTATTCTCAGTAGTACTGTTGAACTCCAGAAGTGTTAAAGCTCCGGTATAATCACGCTTCTCCAAAAACTCTTCAAGCTTAGGGATCCTTTTTTCCGATGCAGACCTTTTTATTCCCTCGGAAGAAGCTGGCTTGGATCTTGACAGTATCTATTACAGGTATTTGTTACGAACATTAGAACACTTTCAAATACGATGTTAAAAGAAAGAAAATACAATAAAACAAAAAGAAGGATAATTGTAATATTAAAGATGAAATAAATAGAAAAATGTATTGTTTAAACACACGAAAAACATATGAAAAAGAAATAGAAAATATGATATACGATGTTGTGTTTACCATTTTTAGTCACTGTTGCTAATAGAAACGAGCATTTATCGATTGCTATGCACGGGTAAAAGTACGAGGAAGATAACTCTATATTCGTAGTAAAATATTATCTAATTGTTGAGAAAAATGATTGTTAAATTAACAAGTATGTTTTTTAGTTCTTTAAAAGGAAATTTAAGAAAATTCATATTTTCAAACTAAATTTTTGCGTGTTCCACCTACAGATGTCAGTTCAATGGCGGTAGAATTTAATCATTTTTACCTAAGATTGAACTATATTTTCTCTTCATTTATATTTTTAAGAAAGCGTTTATACGAAGAACTGAATGTTCGTATTGCAAAATATTTGTACTATTTTGAAATTTATATTGAAAGTTGTAAGAGTAAACATTTCATGTCTAAAGGAAATTCATAAAATAAAAAAGTATATATGGCGTTAGTTTGGGTAAATTTAAAAGAATTCTTCGACTGAACCAATCCGTAATTAAAAAGTTTACGCAGAGTTTGTCCCAGACCAAGTTATTGAAACGTTTGAAAACACGGAGCAATCAAAACTGATCAGAACCAGACCAGAACGTAATCAACTGTCGCGGAGAGTACATGTTACATCGCCGGTAATTCTTTCGCATTTGTTTTCGTAATGTTGGAAGGTGTCAAGCATGTTTTACTAGTGTTATCTGGTAAAGGCGGTGTTGGAAAGTCAACTGTCAGTACTCAATTGGCACTTGCACTCAAGGAGTCAGGATTTCGAGTGAGGTTTTTGTTGTCATGCAGTTTTCTAGGTTAAGTTTGTTACATGTCAAAATGTTCTAGGTTGGTTTGTTGGACGTAGATCTTTGCGGGCCTAGCGTGCCTTACCTCTTAAATTTAGAAGGCAAAGATGTTCATCAGTCTTCTGACGGGTATTTAAAACAATTTCTATGAACAATATGTCGTTAACGCAAAAATTATACTTAAAAATTTATATCGACGACTATCGTCGGATTTGTTTATTTCTGCAATTAATATTCTCAAAGAACATTTGTTCGATTCAGGAACTTGTAAGTTCACTTGTATTTAGGTGGTCATCGTATTATTATTATTATTTGAACATTGTAGATGGGTGCCAGTATTTGCTGACAAAGAACAAAAGTTAGCTGTCATGTCGATAGGGTTTTTATTAAAAAATCAAGATGACAGTGTTATTTGGCGGGGTCCAAAGAAAACTGGTATGATTAAACAATTTTTAAACGATGTTGTTTGGCAAGATATCGATTACTTGATCATTGATACACCACCTGGAACCTCGGACGAGCACATTACAGTGATGGAGAATTTGAAGTAAATTTATTTATTTCATATATTACTTATACATGTATGACATTAATTTTTAAAGGTTATAATGTTTTGTTCTATGAATTTATACTGTTAGTAATATCATGTGCTTGTACTTCACATGTCACTATAATCAAAGATCATGTGATGTTCAAATGAAACGTAACTTCTAGTTAGATAAGTTATAACATTGATAAACTCATATGTTTTGCAAGGCTCCACATTACAAGATTATACATCACAAACATACTATATAATGATACATGATAATTATAGTGATATTATATCTTGCAGGAATGTTAAATGTGATGGCGCACTTATAGTAACCACTCCACAAGCAGTTGCAGTAGATGATGTTTTACGAGAAATAACATTTTGTAGAAAAACTGGTATTCATATATTTGGTATTATTGAGAATATGAGTGGTTTTATTTGTCCATCGTGCTCGGTTAGTGAATCATTTTTCTTTGATGTTATAAAAGAAATCTTTTATTGTCTGTACAAGAAACTATAATTTCAGGAATGTACAAATATTTTTTCTGCCGGTGGAGGAATAGCTCTTTCAAAAGTGGTGAATGTACCATTCCTTGCAAAAGTGCCTATAGATCCACAAGTTGGTAAATTAGCAGAAACAGGTCAAAGTGTTTTAGTAACACTACCAGATAGCCAGGTAGCACAAGTATTTCGGAAACTAGTCGAAGAACTTACAAAAAGCAAGGAAGCATAAAAGTGAGAATTCTAATTACACCCATACAATTTCCAATGAAACATAGTACTTGCTTCTAATGGGTAATATTAATCAATTGAAAATAAAATTGTTTTATTGAAAAAAATATGTATATATATATATATAAAAAAAATATATATATATCGCATGTTACAGAATGGGTAGAGTGTACATACAAGTACAAATATGATTTTTACATGATAGCATTTATACGAGTTATAAACGATTGAGTTTTTGCAAAATACAATTATAAAAATGTGCGTGGATATGTTTATCCTACGGCAACTTCAATTGAAATGCCCGGATATATTTTAAAATTTGTATATAAGAGTGTGATTAAATTAGTGTGCTGTTGTATAATGTACATACATCGAAAACTTTGTATATTTACACATGGCTCTATTATATTCACTACATTTACTGTATTTCCAAATTCGGAAATTCGGAATTCGTTGTTATCCAATTATTTACAAGTTTTAGCTGTTGCGCACATATTCAAATATAAAAAAATATATATGTTCTCCTTATTTTTATATAGACCTATTGCCAGAGTAATATAAATTACTTATTCATACTATTCGTTTCTTATAAGCCACCCAAAGTTCCTTTTTATATTTCAATGCAGCACTCAGTTTGTCCTCTGCTTCGGTAATACCTCTACCGACAACAGCCAAATCTGCTCCAGAATTCACAACAGATTCTGGAGTATTGTATTGTTGTCCCAGGTCATCAGAACTTTTTGATAATTTTACTCCAGGCGTTAATTGAACTAGCCCTAAATTCGTGAACATATTCGACTGGCAAACTATTCCACTTACCATGTCCGAACTTTGTGCAATGGACAACGCGCTTTGTGCATAATCACTATTCGTCAAAGCTCCCTTAGAAGACATTTCAGCTAATATAAAAATGCCACGCGGTTCGGTGATACATTTCAAGCCATTTTTCAAACCGTCTATAATGCTCTGACCAACGACAGCGTGAACCGTAACAATATCTGCCCATTCCGCTATTTTATAAATGCCCTTTTGATATTGTAATGATACCGTATTACCGATATCAGCAAACTTCCTATCCTCCATCAACAGGAAGTTGTGTTTGTTAGCTAATTCTTTCAAATGCTTTATGAAATCATTGTTAAAATCTTCTATTATATCTATGTGGGTCTTAAGCACTATGATATGTGGTCCAACTAAATCAGCCAACTCTAAAATATCATTGGATTTAGTCAAGTCTGCTGCTAAACATAAGGTAGATTCTTTTGCCTCCATCAAATTAAAAAGTTTAGAGGCGATTACGTTATTAGCATTTGTCGCTCTGACATGGAATGGAGTTTTCAATCTAATATCTGAAATTTAAATAAAGAGATTAAGTTATTTTAATAGTGTATAATATAAAATTAGTTTATCAATTAAAAGTTTTGAACAGAACCATGAACAGCAATAGTAGGCGCTTGGTACTTCAACAAATAATCTGCAACATCTTCTGTGATTTTTGGTGTAATTTTATTAGCTTCTAAAAGGTACGCCAACAGTCTTGTGATTGTATACAGACTTTTCATCTTAATTCCATGATTCTCAACATTTTTCTTGCCACCTTGTTCTCTATCAATTACTACATAAGCCTCCTTCACTTTTAAACCTTCCCTTCTTAAACTATGTACAGTTTCTAAAATACTGCAGCCACTTGTGACAACATCCTCAATGATCACACAATTATCCCCTGGCTTAAACTGACCTTCTATTGTCTTCATCGTACCATATGCCTTTGCTTCCTTTCTTTTAATTAACATGGGTATATTTGAATCAACAGAAATTAAAGTAGCCAATGGTAAAGCAGTATATGGTACACCACAGATTTGTGATATATCTGAAGCATCTTCTGCAAACTTCCATAATACCTTAGCCAAGCGAGTCTATGGAAAATGCGAAAGAAAGCATCAAATAAATTATTAAGCCAAAATATATACATCCATTGTAATTTGCATGAGACCAAAGACTTACCATTACTTTTGGATGTGAAATTATCACTCGCAGATCGAAGTATACTGGAGTTTTCAACCCAACTTTGGTCACAAATTCTCCAAATTTTAATGCATCAATTTCATAAAGAGCGATAGCTAATTCTTTTAATTCATTGTCCATGGCGTTAGTATTTTTGAACATGGTTACTAGTCTTTATAATAAACGTATATTTTAAGCAGATGAGGATAACACGAGTACTAAGAGTTAAGGTTGGTTAAGGTTAACTCGTTATATCAACGGTACAACAATTCTTATTTTAAATTCGATCGCTAAAAAATCTTTAGTTCAGATTTATCACACTAATATTACAAAGAGGTAAAGTTCATTTATTCGTTTATAATGTTTACCACGTAAATATCAGTTACTCAATTAAGATTAAACTTATACTAATGTGTCGATTATATGATCCCTTGAGTGACATACACCATGTATTATTTTAATCAACTTTAATACAAAAGTTAAATATGAAACAGAAATGTAAAAGAGATAAGAATAATAAACAAGTAAGGAACAAATGAATTCCCAATATATCACGTGTACGAAGCCGGAGTCGACCATAGAGATATACTCCTCAACATTATGATTCTTCTACAGCAGTGGTGCCCAACCCGTGGCGCATTGGATAATTATAAATGGCACATTGCATCCTTGTGTTTATATATTCTTTTCAAATATTTTTCTCTCATCACATACAACAACTATGGTCCAAAAATATTTTCACCAAACGAGATTCTCCGGCAGTTGTAGCACCATCAGCGAGCTCCACAACACCGATCACTCTATTATACAAGATGACAACCGAAACGACAAACGTAGCGCCTACGAGATGGTAACCGAACCGACATAGTAACTAATATAAGTTACCCCATTACAGGGGGACCTATGGTCAGGCTGCCGTCGATCACTAGAGACTGACACTAACAATTTGTTCATTTTCATTCCGTCCGCGGTGGTCGCCGGTCACTGACATTACCTTTCCGTTCACTTTTGGACACCTCCTAACAACTGCTACCACCTTCTAACATCACCTAACACATCCTAACACATCCTGACACATCCTGACACGGCCTGACACCTCTCAACATCTCCTAACACCTCCTAAAACATTCTAAAATCACCTAACACATTCTGACATCTCCTGACACTTCCTGACACAGGGCAAAAAAAACTCTTCTAACATCACCTAACACCTTCCAACAACTTATGACATCTCCTGCACCTCCTAAAACATTGAAAAATGTCCTAACACCTCCTAACATATCCTGACACCACCCAAAAACTCCTAAAACATTCTAACATCTAATAAATCCTGACACCCACAGGCACTATGTCTAGATACAGGTATGAATCTAAATCTGATCCGATTTTTACTCCTGGTATCAGGAAAACATAATATGCGAAGATGTGGCACGTTTGCGCCTACAGGCAGGCAACCGGCCCGACACATCTGTAAGTATAGGTTGCCTGATTCGAGGGGCACATGTTCGGTACGTATGGAAATTCTGGCCGATTTTATATTTTGGTATCAGGAGCACATGATATGCGAAGAGGTGGCACGTTTGC